CATGCACCCGCAACTGGGCCAAGTGCACGTTTGTATCCTGCACTAGTGCTTTGATACCCGCGTCAACCCAATTCCTGACCCTGAATTCCCTCCCAAACGCCAACTGCTCAGTGCTGGTTAAGGTGTGCGGAGCACAGAGCGATCTAATCGCCGTCTTTCGTATCTGTAGTGAAACAAATCACATCCATATCCACTTTCGAGCATTAACCGAATCACTTACATCCGTCATATCCCACTTCGTAGCCAGCCTCAACACGCTGACCCACTCCTCCTTCTTTAGTTGTATATCTATAGTCTTATTCTCGACCACAAAGTGGGTGATCCTGCCGAGACATTGGGCACAGCATTTCAAAGAGCAAGGTTCCAAGTCATAACACTCACGTTGGGTACATGTACTTGAGTAGACAGATGACATCCTCCTTTTTGTACCCTTCTAACCCAATAGGATGCTCCTTATCGCGTCCCTCCACCGGCATACCCAAAGTGGGAACCGAGAACATATTGTCAAAGACAGAGTCCTTCGCTGCCGCGAATCCACTACGAGGTACGCAGAGCTCGTACTCGACCTGTCAAGGCATCGCGATAAGCGAAAAGAGGCGGTGATCTCAGAATAGACTCAAGTCGATGAGGGGCCTTGAACCAGATCGGCTCCCAACAGAACATGTTGTTGTACTTGGTGAACCCGTCTTCAGCAGCAATGTTGCCGGCGCCTGGGTTGGCCATGATGTCGCAAAGGTCACCGTTATCGCACAGTCGCGCTGGGGATACCAACTGAGCTTGAACCCGTCGTACTGGTGGCAGCCTGATTGTTTAATGTTGGTGACGGAAGATAACAAACAGCGTCATTGATAGGATCATGAGGCACTTGAACCTAGTCCGGCGGGTGCATGTTTAAGCGCTACCATGGGCTCGAACTCAACGCGAACGTCTTCCCGACTCGGTGCTCAAACCAACATTCCCCGGTAGTGCTCATCCTTCGCCAAGTTCGCTGGGAATCAAACACTAGATGGAGATGAAAATCAATCGCTCAGAGTGGGCGAGCTCTGACGACGTGGGTGCACGGAGATAGCAGCACTTTGGATAATTCTCTGGTATGCAGGGACATTACGGAACGATGTCAGAGATGTTACATATGCATGCCTTTTCGCCAGACAGCGCTTTGGAAACATATTCGTTTTGGGTGGAATTATGCGCTCACACCTCTGTCAAAGAGCCTCGAGGCGGTCCCGATTAGTCACTTTAGTCATTCCGTTCGCAGTCACGACCCTGGATGGGACTCACATGCGTCCTGAATTTGCCCCTGGACTCGGTTTATTCTTTGAGCCCTAGTCAACGGCCAAAACCCCATCTCACTGCATTAATATATACACACACCAACCCAAGTTTGTTCGTATGCCTTTAGATTCGTCCTCTCGGGCTGCCGCTGCATGTCGGCCACGGGACCTTGGGGAACACGCACAACTGGTTGTTCATCACCGCTGATTACCATACTAGAGAATCGTCCGTTCTTGACAGGCCGGATGTACCCGACTCCCTGACCTGAAAAGGTTTAGTAGCAGAAGAAGCGGACCGATGGGCCTTTTGGATCCTTGTCTTTCTATCAGAATTGGAATATGTATGACAAACAACCCCTTCCTGATTCAGTACTACCAGTTAGATCTCATTCAGGATTCCACATCTTCCTTGCCCTTCTTGAGACTTGAGCGTCCTGATTGATGTATTCGACAAATGATTTCGGAACTATGTAATCTTATGTGAGTCCCATCGAGCATCGTCGGACTGGGAACGGAATACAATCGGAACCCCCTCGAGGCTCTTTGACAGACGTGTGAGCGCATAGGCAAGAAGAGCAAACACGATCGGAGCTCTGGGAGGAATTTCAAAAATGGCCCAGCTATGTTTCCCGCTCCTGCTCATCGTCAAACCTTAGAGCACATCGTTGCGTTAGCTTAACAGCTTTGTATCGGGCCTTAGCACCTGGCTCCGTAGCAGGTGGCATGTAGTGCCAGGTCCTTTTTTCATCTTCCTGTTGCGGCTTCATCATCCGACGGGTCGCGAGTAACGTGCTTGTATAATATGGGCTTCCTTGACAATCTCTCATTCACTATTACCGGCGGCCGCGCTCGGGCTCAAAGAGTAAACTGACTCCAGCGGCAAATTCAGGCGGGCCCCGAGATCGTCAATACTTATCTAAGTACATAGGTACACGTGGGAACCCCGGTGATTTTTCAAATGTTTCAAGTTTCCAAATGGGTACATAACTACTAACATGCGTCATTATCTTAATTAATTGCAGTTAAATAATCATACATCATGAACGGTGGTGCACATCATAGACCCTGCATGACGGTAAGGTTTGGTGTCCTATCGAATCTCACTTACAGTGCAGACGGCCAGTGGTTTGCACATACATTGTGCTGCCTGGCAATCCTGACTGGAGCTGGCAGTTCAATGTTGCCAGCGATCGGGCCAGTGAGAATTTTTGGTCAAGTAGTTCTCAAGCTTCCAACCCATTGCAATCACAGGTGCCGGTCCAACAATTGAGCCCGACTACCCATGGAATCTCAATTCACCGCCTTGCGCGTGCTTACGTTCCCGCCTCGTGCATCCTGCGGCGTGCAAGCCAGTGGTTACCACGGATAATTCCACTGGCGTGCTGTGGATGATGGACACAGAGAACTTCGTTAGTCTCACTTTATCCTACCTCTTTGAGTGGATTCCCCTCCACAAATGCGCGCCCGCCGTCAATGGTGAATGAGAAATTGTCAGGAAGTATTATAGAAGCTTAGAGTACGTTACTCGCGACCAGTCGGATGATGAAGCTGCAACAAGAAGATGGAATAATACAATGTACATACCACCTTATACAGAGCCAGGCGCTAAGGTTCGATACAAGGTTGACAAGCCAACGAAATGATGTGCTCTAAGATTTGACGATGAGCAGAAGCGGGAAACATAGCTGCGCCATTTTTAATGAATTCCTCCCAGAGCTCCATTCGTGTTTGCTCTCGTGACGCCTCCTCTTGCGGAGGGACTTTGTCACACGTCGTGACCAGGACGAAGCGGTGGTAGTCGATGTTGAGCAGCTGCTTGAGATCCTTCAGGTTGGTTCGCGTCGATTCCTGTATATATATAATCCCTGAAATGGTCACACCCTGTGTGCGCCTGAAAGAAGATGAAAGAAGGTAAGAATTGCATATATACAAATGTTTGGCATAGCAAAGACACTCACCGGCTCTTCAGCCACAGCACCATTCTCTGCAAGATCTCCGAATCGTCGAGGTGGCTATTGTCAAAGCCAGGTGTGTCGACAAGAACGATATTCTTGGAGCATAGGCCGGGATACTTGTTGGCAAGCTCCAAGGGCATGACCATCTTGAACTCTTCCATATCCTTGGTGCACGACTCGAGGCCATGCCCCACAACCGCATCTGTGCGTCCAGTGACGGCGTTTATGAACTAGATTCACTCGGTTAGAATCTCAAATACGCTAGAGCAAAGTCTCGACGCTTACCGAGCTTTTACCTGCTCCTGTTGGCCCCATAACACTGTGTAGCCGCCAAGATGTCAGTTCTGCGCACAGATCATGGACGTTGATTCAACTAACGCTATGAAGATGTCGTTCAAGCTAGATTTGTCCTGGTTATCCTGTTTACGGATCTTGAGAAACTGTAAAGCCCGAATTAAGACTTTTGTTTTCGAATTGGGTTGGTCCGTTGCCCTGATATTCGCCATGTGTGATAACGCTTGAGTGTGCTTGTGAAAGTGAAAAGTTTTACAGGAAGGAGAAATGGAATATAATAGGTGGGGTGTCGAAGGAAAGATCCAATTTATACTCGCCACGTATGTGCGATCTTACCAAAACAGTACCCGCCTCGAGGCTCGGTTATGTCAGGACACATCGCGGTATGTTAGATGGGTATCTTCAACTTTTACCGACACTGTCACACTGATTAGGCGCCTCTTGGCCCTGATACACCATGGCAAGTAAAAGTTTGTTGAGCCGTGGTACCTCATGGGCCGCTTTGGGACGTCCAGGATAAAACACCCGGGCCATGCTTGGCTGAGTAACGGAGTCAGCGCCCACATTGCCTTCTAGAGTACGCCACCCGACATCGACTAGATCTTATGGGGCAGAGTAAGTGTAAAGCACAGCATCCAGGCATGGCTGACGTTCACTCACTCAGCCTGTTCCCGAGGTCTTCGTGTGAATGATATCCGGGCTTCGATCGTAAAGTTAAGGTTCGGTAGCATGATGGAGATCCTCTGGTCTCTATTGGAATTCGGCCACCTTTATTACTTCAAAGGACTGCCAACCAGGAAAGTATGCAACAATATCCTTCTTCATCGCCAATGGGTCTCCCACTCGCCATTCACCAAGCCGATCCTTTCGCTACTCGTTGCGGATATCTCCGAGTCGTAGCAACAACGGGGCTTTGAAAATAGTACCGTTGATGTGCACGAAAGCTCAATCACTGATCAGTGGCACCGAGCAATTGTACCGAAAGGGAAAGCCCGGCTTTTACCACCGTGCATAAACTGTAATGCATTCCTCAAACGGAAAGCATGTAGCAGCGAATGTGACGAGCCCAAGCCCGATAGACTCCATCAGCACCACGACTTGCTGCACTCCTTGAACCAACAGTACTGCCTTTTTGGCCTACAACTCGTTTGTGCGCTGGGCCTCGTTACGTCCGATTTTCAAGTCTGGTCTCTGATGGATATTGAATATGGAGTCTCGATTATCAATACACACAGTCGCTTGACATGCTTCTCGCGCAGCACACACTATGACTACTCCTACTACCACCGGGGACCAGGCTGTCCCCCCACTATATAATAGTAAATCCATTGCCTACATTTCGATACTGTACAGCCCCATAGAAATAGAGAAGACACATCGCAGAAATAAAAAAACAAACGTGAACATACATACTTAATGCATCCTTGCGCGGTAACTTAATTGAACATCAGAGATCATAAGCAATCAAGCTAAAAAATTGGGAGACGGGGAATCGAATCCCGAGCTGCCGCGGACACTCGATGAATGAGAGGCGGCAATGTTAGCCGTTACACCATATCCGATTAAGGATGCTGACGTTCACCTCTCAGGGATCAGTTTATCGAGGACTGTCACACGTACGTAGACCCAGGACCAACCATCCAAGCTACTCAACTTGGAGCCTGCTCTCTGCCTCATGAATTTCCTTGTTCTGTTTTAAGCTCCCGAATCCCAATCACAATCACGCAATGATTTCTAGCGGAGTTCCGGCCTCGTTTTTCGGATATAGAGACTACTATTTGCGGACTTCTAGTCCTTGAATTATGGCAGTTTGTCTTGACTCTTGCCTCGAGTCTTTATCAGGTGGTGGTCGGTGGATAATCCAGGCACCAGTCAAGGTAGTTTTGAGGATAAGGAGTCTTAGTAATGTACGCAAATGATACTTATGCTTTAGATGATGGGATGAATGAGAAGTGACGAATATGATAATTGTACATTCTACCTATCACACTGGTGACAATACATACTGAGTTCTACATACTTGATCTTAAACTGAGCCTAAAGCCTAAAGCCTAAAGGGGACTATAGCAAACAGCCTTAATCGTTGGCTTGCTCGAGTTGAATACAACAGATCCACATAATTCACCCCCAGGAAATATGTGGTACCCGTCACTGTGAGTGTATACACGTCGCCTTCTTCGTCCCTGAACTTGTATCTTCCCGGATGGTCTGTGGAGATCTGGAGCTCATAAGAGTAGAGGAAGGCGTTGTAGAGACTGGGACTTGGCTGCAACCAGCCAAGCCCATCTCTGTTCTCCTATCACAACACATCTCGCACCCAACAGCGCCAACACGGTGCAATCATTTAGGCGCCTGATCACGTGACCACCGAAACTTCGAGATTCCCGCCCGTCGCATGCATCCAAATCCCCTTTCAAGCCACATCTCCGCCCCAAAACACCCTCAGCCCCACTCTTTCAATCATCGGGCACCCACCTTGGGCTTCATCTCACTTCCGAGCGCCCAGCAAGGTCCAGAATTGGCTTAGTGCGTGGGAGACCAACCCTGAAGACCCAAAACAAATGATACCCGGCGAATATTTGCCT